GTGTGACGAAACGAACTGGAGTGTCGGATTGAGGTTAAATAGACGAATTTGCAAGACTAAGGCGAGGAAAAGTGGGGCTTGAGCGGGGGGGGGGGGGGGGGGTAAAATTAGAAGCGGAAGGATATTCGCGGGTCGGAATTGGGGGAGCGTCCGCAGGGGGATGATGTCGGTACCGGTATAATTGAATTGTTACGTGCTTAAACTGTTAGGATGACGTAACAATTTGCGTATATAGAACGTAAACATGAGATAACATAAAGTGTTAAACTATTCCACTCAAGTTCGGCGGATCATATTAAATCATTTCGCGGGCTCTAATTGGCCCGCGAGTTACGATTTGGGAACCACTGGATTAATGGGAGGTCAGAAAAGATGCGTGCTGAAGGTTCCACCTGTGTATTCCAACCTATGAGTCGTGACCAAAAACTGGGTAACCGAAAAATACCCTTGGGTCGCTTCTTTGGGTACTCCTGAAGTATGCGTACCAAAATAGCGGATACCGGAAAGTAGTATGTGTACCAGGTTAGGGTTGGGCCATAATTTTATTCCAATAAATAAACTATTTAAGTTCTATTACAAGTTCGGGGACTAGCCAAGTGACTCCCGTAGTATTTATACCTGAAATTAAGGCCTAACCCCAACCAGGTACACATACTACTTTCCGGTGTCCGCCATCTTGGTACGCATACTTCAGGAGTACCCAAACAAGCGACCCAAGGGTATTTTTCGGTGACCCAGTTTTTGGTCACGACTCATAGGTTGGAATACACTGGTGGAACCTTTAGCACGCATCTTTTCCGACCTCCCGTTCCGGCGTTCGCCATCTTGGTTCGCATACTATAGAGGTACCAAAAAACGTATAAGGTGACACTTGCACGCCTGTACGATTCAACAATCATTTTATGACGACATAAAATGTCTTCCTGTCGTTCGCTCGCGTTTTCAATAGAAAACATCGGAAAAGAGTCACCGCTATTAACGACTGGTTGCAGACAGCTATGCTAAAATCGGAAATTTAACTCGGATTTATGTGTTATTATAAACTCAAAAAGCTGTCATTAGTTGCTTGTGACTCTTCTATCAGTATTTATTCCACTATTAGTTGTGGGCTCGGGACCTTGCTTTGAGCAAACTTGCAACACTTCTATCGGTGCTCTCTCCATTCTAGTTGAGGGCTTAGGACTTTGCTTTTGTAACTTATATGAATGGCGACACATAGCTTTTTGCGGGGGGCACTGGTCGCTAGAAATTCATCTATCTACACGTCAATCATTTTAACTTTTGGTTGAGAGCGCCCGCACCTTGCTTTGAGCGAACTGTATAATAAATAGCCCATATTTAGCTTAAAATTTTAGTAGTTTTTGGAATTTCATTGCCCAAGTGACGTTCTGGATTGTTTGTTTTATTCGGTTCATTTTAGGCCAGTGGTTCTCAACCTTTTTCTTTCGTGGCCCACTTTCGTTGCATAAAAATTCGGTGGTCCACTAACTTCCTCATGCAAAGGAAAAACTACAAGAAAAACAAAAATCTGTCTGCAAAAATAAATACTTTTACTTTAATAATTAGCAGCAAAAGCAGCAGTATCATTCATTGCTATTACAATAAAAAATTTGACTGTAATGACACAAATGAAAGTAAACTTTTCAATAACCATACTAATTTTTAATCGACTTTTGGCCCACTTGAAAATGACTCTATGGCTCAGCAGCGGGCCATGGCCCACTGGTTGATAAACCAGTATTTTAGGCAGTATTTACGTAAAATGGCACGCGCGACAAAGTTTCAAAAATACGCCCTTTAATCGTTGACTGACAATTTTTGATGTAAATAGTGCATGATTGCCACCAGGTAAACTCATGTTGATAATAAATGAAGAACAACCGGTGTTAGCAAAACGATGTAACGGTTGTGCTTCATTTATTATCAACAATTTTTAATGTATGTTGTTGAATTGAGATGTTTCTACGTTATTATTCAAGTTATAATACGAATTTCAATTATTTCCAATTTAGTATTATTTTGATGAAACGTTTCACGAATAAATAATTTTTGCGCCCTCTCTCTAAACGGCGCACACAGTATGAGCCATGGCTGCCATACCCTAGATACGTCGCTGATTTTAGGTTAGTGCTTAGATGAAACTAGTGGAAATACCATCAAGTTATTTTACGCCCAGATCAACGGAATCAGAGAAAAGTGATCAGAAAATCAAAGGTGGGGTGGTGGGGCTATATCAGGAGGGTACGCACAAAAATCGCGGTCGTCATAGTCACGTGATCGCAAACAGCAACGAAGAAGGTGACACTTGCACGCCTGCACGGTTATGACGACATAAAGTCATAAAGAGTCTCTCTATGTTGTTCGCACGCGTCTTCAATGGCAAACATCGGAAAAGGGTCATAGTCATTGAAGACTGGCTACAGACAGCTATGCTAAAAACGGAATTTTAACGCGGATTTACGTGTAAATTAAAACCTCAAGAGCGTGGCATTAGTTGCTGTTACTCTCCATCAGTTTTATTTCCACTTTTAGTTGACGTTGCTTTGAGCAAACGTGCGACTGTTCTATCAGCACTCTATCTATGATTTTAGTTGAGGGCTCGGAGCCTTGCTTCTAACAAACGTGTATTAAAAAATGTTCAAGTTACATTTTACAATTACGGTAAAATTCACCAAGTATTTTCGTAGTTTTTTGAAGTTTAGTGATGAGCTCTCCTCAAGCAGCAAACCGGAAGAAAGGAAATGGGGGCGAGCTAGCGCTCCTAGAATAATGAAAGGATTCTCGTTATGCAATAAACTTCTACGCTGCAGAAAGTAAATTAAAATCGAAGTTCTGAGTTTTTTTGAAGTTGTAAATATGTTAGCGAGGTTGTGGTTTCTTACAACTCTTCAGTCTGTAATCTTTGCGCTTTTAGTTGGCGACACACGAACGATGTATCAGCATGTCAGAAGTCGTTTTAGTTTCCAAATTCAGTCAAAAGTTTGGACCCTTACTCTGAGCAAATGTGTATGACTCGCGTTTTTCGTTAGTATTTTTTCAATTTTTTTTCGGTTGATAACGAGGCGTCGTTATGCAGCAAACTGTGAAATCGGAAATGGCTGAAGTGAGTTTGCGTTTACAATTTATATAACTGTAACGTGCGTCATGCAGGCCGTGCAACAAGGCGTATCGGTATACCGATCGGTATTGAAAAAAAGTGATATCGGTACGTTTCCACGTTAGGAAAATTTTTTTTCATCAGTATTCTTTCCATATTTAGTTGAGTGATTAGGACCTAGAAAAATTGTGTAAAATATGTTGCGTTTTACAATAACGACAAATTTCAGTTATTTTTTAAATGTTTTGTTGTTTAGTGACAGAGTTAGCGTTTTGAGAATAGCGAGCCAGCGGGTTACCAGGGCAGTCAAAAAAAGTTGCATTTCAAAAACAATTCCGACCTCGGCTTGTTCTGAGACATTTTATGAGCGAGTGCTATCTCTAGTTTCCTGTGTAGAAGCTTTCGTAATTTCAAAAGAAAGCTAGGAACCATGCTTCGAGAAAAAGTGTTGCATATTCATAGCTCGCCATCGAAAAAAATAAACTATGTGGACTGTCTGTGTTAGCCAAGTAAACTCGCGTTTTTCGTTTTTATTTTTTCATTTTTTTTTTCCGATGACGATGCGTCTTATGCAGTAAACCGTAAAGGCGGAAATGTTAGAGTTTGCGTTAAACAGAGAAATATAACTGTAACGTGCGTCATGCAGGCCGTACAACAAGGCGTATCGGTACGAACGGAAAAAAGTGAAATCGGTCCATTTCAACGTTAGTGAACACTCCTAGAGTATTATTTCAATATTTAGTTGAAGGGATAGGACCTTATTTCAAGGAAAATTCTGTAAAAAATGTTGCGGTTTACAATTACGGTAAAATTCACGTATTTTTTTGTATTTTTTATACGGTATAAATGAAGACTCGTCGCTATTCCATAAATCGGAAATGACAAGTGAGTAAGCGTTTTAAAATGATGGCAGCGGCAATGCGAGCAGCCGTTTTTTAGGTTCATTTGTATTCATTTTTATTAACTGCGTATCAAGAGTTTCTAATTTGGTTTCTGGGGGATTTGAGCGACAGTGTGATTTCAGAAAAGAATCAGAAAAGAATCATCATCGCCATTTTTCGCCAATTACGAAAAAGTTTACGTCATTCTCAGCACATAATGACGAGATATCAATATGCAGCAAATCGTTGAGCTAGCTTTAGGTATAAAATCAGAATGTGAACCGTACAGAGTCAGCTAACCGAGTAACCGGTTAACCATTCCCAGCAATACTAGAGAAGATTTCGTGGCTTTGCAAAGCCTAGAATGTCAATAACAGTCAGATTTTATTGTAACGGTTAATCGTCTAAAATTGGTTAACCGATTTACCGGTGTAAAATTTTCCTGTTCACCGAATTTTCAGAGAAAATTAAATAGCAGTCAAATTGATGGAATTTAATAATATACAAAGCGGTTTGAACAAGGGCACCAAGTGACAGTTAAAATAAATTGCGGTCGTAAACCGTCTTAAATCGGTTGACCGGTAACCATTCTCGGCAACACTATTGAAGCTTTGTAGAGTCTAGAAAGTCAGTTAACAGACAAAATTATTTGTAACCGTTAACCGAATCAAATCGATTGACCGGTTAACCATCCCCAGCAATACTAGAGGACATCTTGTATTTTCGTGAAGCCTAGTTGTCAGTTCACAGTCAAAATTATTGGTAACCAATTACCGTACAAAATCGGTAACCATTAACCATAGAAAGTCGATTAACCGGTTAACCGATTTAAAAGTTACCCAGTTTCAGAAACACTAATGGAAGTTTTGTTCAAATTATAAATGACCAGCGGGTCTGAGACAATGACATGTTTCATGGAACTAAGCATTACTTGTCTAACATCGGTGAACCGGTTAACCATTCCACATGTTACACATATGTTTACATTTAAAAGTTAATGTTTTATCCAATTTTCAGAGAAAACTAAATACCGTCAAAATGATAGAATTTGACAATATACTTAATGAATTGAATAAGATGACGCGGCCACAGTGGGTGCAACTGGCACTTTTGATACTGCCATGTGTGTTTGTGGCCACTCACATGGGTGCCATGGTCTACCTCGGAGCCGAACAGTCTCACATGTGCACTATGCCACTCAAGGAGAGGATTATAGAGGTGCGTAATGGGTTATTTTTTATCGTTTTGCTAATTTGGTGCATTTGTAGGGAAATATTTGACCTATGACAAGAATATGAAGATTGTGTACTGGATTAAATTTTTGTTATTTGGTTTGAAATTTGTTATTTGTGAAAAGAGAATTTTGAATATGTGGAAGGATGCAATGGAGATATGCAGTGGTGAGCTGTAGTTCCGTTGTTGGACATTTTATTGCATTTGCGTTCCTGTTGTTGAAATGAAATTATGGTACAAACAGTCTAATTTCTCTGGTAAACCTAGTTATAAATTTATGTTATGTTACATCATAATTCGTAATTCTTTTTAGATCACGTCACGCAATTAGTTAATACATCAGTAACGGTGACCGTACATTTGAACTCATGTACATTTGAACCCATGCGTATATCCACGGGTTCAATCTATATGCGGGTGCTAAAACCCATGTTAGTATGGGTTTAACTATCCGTGAAACAAAAAAAATTTCATAGGTGCAATAGCATACAGGTGCAATTGTCATGGGTCCAAATGTACGTGGGTTCAAATGTAATGGAACCATCAGTAACGTGTAATAGATGTTTCCCCGACCTTTGACCCCATGGAAATGTATTCCATACCTTCCTAGTAATAACATTTGTATTGGATCGCTATAAATATTCATGTAATTTTACAAAGACATAGTTACGATAATTTTTTCATATTTCATTGTAGTCCTTCGGCTTTATCTTAGACTAAACAAAAGTTTCTGTAAAAATATTTCACGTCCGCGTCGTGTTGTAAATATATTACATTTTTGCAAATTAGGTGCGTTCGAGTTGTTACAATTTTTCCAGCTCATCACGGGAGATATGCAAATTAGGTGCTATTTGTAGGAAGAAATTCCTATTTATTTTCAAGATATGTGTGATTATGGTATTCCTTGGAATTAGAACTCGTTGGCTTGCCTATATTGATGTCGCAAGTTGAAACCTGCAGATCTCATGACCTTCACTTCACCCATTGTGCAATGAATTAGGCCAGAAATGTGCAACCTGTGTGCCAAATGCGACCCACGAGAAAAAATTGGGACCTTCTGAAGTATGCGCACCAAGATGGCGCACAACCTGAATTCAGGTACCGCGGAGAAGTGCAAATTATAAATGGTGTGCAGCTCCCGAAACGAGGTTTTATGGCCCTAACCAGGTTAATAAATTGTCTCACATCCTTTATTACTCATTTAAAAGAACAGCTACCATAATAAACATTTATTTATTATTACATTCCAGAGATGCGGAGGGAATTGGACAGAAGAACAAACCAGCAGGTACATTCCCTGGGATGAAGAGAATAACGCTTTGGATAGCTGCGAAAGGTGAGTGCTATATACATGAACAGCTCATTAAGTGAACAGATGACGTCACAACTGATGACGTCATATAAATCGTTTTAGGGCAGCGTACGATAAACATTGAATAAAATTGTATTGTTTTTCGACTAGACGAATCCAGATAAGTAGTGGCACATTGAGTTAACCACTATCATATGTCTGTTTTCTTGATCGTATTGTATTGACCAAAGTATAATGTAAATTGCGGTCTTCACTGTCACTTCTAATTAAATTGGCATATTAATAATTTTCTAAGGATATATGAGAATGTGACTCAATAGCGAAGAGTATAAATGACGATAGGGACCATATATAGGCTATATCCATACTCTTAACCTGCTGTCTATATCTATAAGGCAGTAATAATAAAGAAACGAGAATATCGCTCAGAGACCGAAGACTTATCGATTGAAAGCTAGAGGATCCCCAAAACAGCGCTCCTACTCCATAGTGACACCTTGTGTCCCATCACTAATTAAATAATAACTCGCTAATTATACTACATAATTTATCCAAAATCAATAGGCTTCTGGTACGACATATGATGAATGCACATGCAAAATCTGGAGCAGATTCAATCTTGTTTTCGTGAGATATCGCATGCATCTAACAGACAGACAAACACCTATCAACATACTTACCGATTAAAATCGATAAGTCATGAAAGATATTAGTATTACCACAGCAAAAACAAGGCAAAATCCCTCCGACACATTTCCTTCCGGGTTGAGAAACATTGCAATGCTATTATTAGGACATTTGGACTGAATATCCATTCATATTCCTACAAATATTACAAAATTCATTAACAACATTCATAGCGCACGCAACATGAAATGTGGGAAAATTAATCGAAATAAACTAAATAGGGTGGTCCAAATCAGGCCCGCGGGCCACCGCTTCATTATCTGTGGCCCGTGTCACATTCGGAGAGTATTCAAAAAATCGAATTTCGTGTTGTTTCGTCATAAAATTAATCAGAAAAATCTTTTGACATATTGTCATCACTAATGTCACTGAATTAAATAGTGTTATGGCTAGCTGGGGAAACTAGCGAAGTTGAAATCGAATACGGATTCTATTAGCCTAGAATGGCTATGCCTAATAACTATGTGATTGTACAATAAAAGTGTTTGTTTTGTATTGCACTGTTTACCTATTCTTGGCACTATTGTGGCCCGCGAACAATGCAAAAACAATTTTGTGGCCCGCGGAGCCGACAACCTTGGACCACCCTGAACTAAAATATCCCAATCGTTTAAAAATTCAATAGAGATGACACAGCACCCCAAACAAGAGAGCGGTGCTCAAATATATGGACACGAAGACCAAACCGAAGTAGTATTGGTATGCACTCTGTCACAGTAGGCTAACGGTACCACTATCTTCGCGACGACATGAAAACGTGGAAGAGAGCCGTCACGATGTTGTTGCGAGCCGTCACAAAAATTGTTCCCGTGAATAAAAATGAAACAGCGGAATTTTAGATGATATTTCAGATCTCATAGGAAATTTAGCCAAAATATCCTTCTAGCGAGAAACACAATATTCATTCAATGAAAATTTCAAAGCAATTGGTCCAGTAATTGACGAGAAAGCGATTTTTTTATAAAAATGAGAATGTGAAATAAATTCTAACAACCACAAAACAACAAAACGATACATTCAACGTCTATAGACTACTTTTATTCTCACCTTGTGGTATGCCACCGATGCTGTTTTCGCTTCATTGCCTCTTTGATAGATCGACATAGCAGGAAAATCTCGCAAAGGTAGACAAGGAATGATAATTGCAGCATCCATCAATCTTATTGTGGTCTCTTCACCTAATATTTAATAAACAAAGACCACCCGCCCGACTTGAACAAGGGCCGATAATTTGTCACGAATCTGACTTTAACCATTAAGTTTCAACAGTTCTATCGCATAACAACAATTGACAAACCTAACATGCTTCAAGTTAGCTGTTTGAATGCGGGGTTTTGGTCTAAAAGTACTGCTTACCGCACCGTGCAAAATACCAATCTCATTTAGTAATCGCGGCGAGGCACGTAAGTCCTTGTATAAATTTTATCGGCAATGTAAGAGTAGATCAGCGACCAGCCGAAAAACGAGTGTTGAGAGTCTTAAAGGCGTTTCCAATCTACGATTTATCCCAAACTCTGGGCAATACATATATATTTAACTTATATATTTAACATATAAAAATGTGTTATGTATCTGGCTGATCCTCTCACTACCTAAAAGAGGGGGGGGGGGGGGGGGGGGGTAAATCCCTGGTCTGTGTATCGCAGGTATCCCTGACCTGACACCTAAAAACGTCTTTGCCTAAGCCAACTTATTTTTACACTGAGTGTGTTCGTTTGCCATAAAATGAGGAGAAAAATAACCGTAAACAAAGGAGACAATCTGTGGAACGTTTATACATTTAAAAAAAAGTGTAGGTTGCAAGACATTTATGTTAATTTCCTCATTTACTTCCAAGGTACACATTCAATGAAATCGACTGCAGTTACTGGTGGCCGAATATGACCTTTGACACTTTCAACATGACCTCCGACGTCAACTCCACCTCACAACCCCCCACAACAAGCTCCATAGCGCACTCTGGCGTCGAAAAATGCTCCTCGTGGAATTACGACACTTCAATGTTTGCTTCGACCACTGTCAGCGATTTTGATTTAGTATGTGAAGACAGTTATCAGCGAAGGTTTGCCCAAGCTATATTTATGCTGGGGGTAACAATTGGATGCACGTTTTGGGGTCAGGTCTCTGATAGGTAAGTTGAAAATACGGATATTTTGTACGCCCCCCTTCCTCACCCACCAATAAAAAGAAAAATTGAGATTTGAAAATCGATACTCCCGTAGTATGTGTACCAGGTTAGGGATGGCCCATAATTTTATTCCGATTTTCCTTATTTTACTTCTATTACGAGTTCGGGGACTGTCTGTGTTAGCAAAGTGAATATCCCCCTGTCCATAGGTTTTAGTCCCTATACACATCTTGATGTGAAGTAGGCGAACAAAATTAGTTACCTCCATATTGGTACATAAACTTCTGGAGCGTCAACATCCCAAAACCGCTTTAAAATAACAAATTAGTAATTATTCACTTGGGGTTCGGGCTAGTAAGGATTTAAAAATTTGAATTTTCATCGCAATCTCCATTCCTAAACTAAACCCTAACTCAGGGGTCGGCAATCTACGGCCCGCGGGCCGGATCCGGCCCGCGGAGCACTATAATCCGGCCCGCGACGCTTCACTAAATTATAGCAACAAAACATCCGTTTTGACGAATATATTCATTAGACTAAATTATATTATAACCTAACAATTATATAATTCACAATTACTCGTTTATTGAGCATATAATTTAATTATAATTGAGCAAATGGCAACAAAACGCAGAAAAGTTGATGGGTTCAATGACGCTGAAAATATTCAAATGGAATTTTATGAGATGCAATGAGGAAATAAATCTATATTCTATTCGAGAGATGTATCACTACCTGATTTTTATTATAAAAAGTACCATCCGTTCGGTTTTTCAACTTTTTAATAATATGTGCGGCCCGCCAATGACTTGCAACCTTAATTTTGGCCCGCGAGCGACAAAAGGTTGCCGACCCCTGCCCTGACTGGATAATTATCATTTCCCTATTTGGAGCGTTGTCGTTTTTTTTTGATGGGGCTTTGTACGAAATACCTCAAACTGAACAAATATTTTTTTTTTTTCAGATTTGGACGGAAACTGGGTATCGTTGCACCTCTCGTAACAGGATGTGCGTTTGCAATCGGCGTTGCTTTTGCTCAATCGTCTATTCTGTTCGTTGGTTTGAGGTTTTTCGTTGGTTTCAACTTGTTCCCTGCTTTCTCATGTTCATTTGTTCTGGGTAAGTATTTTCAAACTACAACAGAAAAAAAGTCGTCAGCTAGTAAAGAATCTTTAGACCAGTGGCTCTCAAACTTTTTTTAGGCCGCGCCTCCTTTTTAGAATTTGTTAAGTCTCGCGCACCTCGTCAAAAATAACTAGCTAACAATAAGCTACAAATAACAGATAGTAAGGCGGAAGTATGTTTTTGGACACATAGTGGACGTACTGATCGTTTTGTTGTTCTTAGTCTTGCTGTTTTTTGACATGTGTTGAAGAAGTCGCTTTTCTCTTCGATTACTGGACCAATTCATTTAAAATTTTCAGTGGTTGAAGATGGAATTTTTTCAGAAGTCTATTACTGTTATTTTTTGCTATGAGGTCATCAAAATTATGTGGCATTACGTGTCCATATATTTGAGCATAACTCTCTTGTTTTCAAAAACACGTTGAAAATACGTGGAAGGTAAATATCCAAAATAAGTAAATGTAAATATATATCCAGAATATGCAAAATCAAAACTAATAAATATTTTTATTTTTAATTAGCTTGTCTACGCCTTCTTTGTGGGATGCGTCCCACCGTTACCAATGCTTCCCAAACCGCGGCTCGCGGGCCAATTACTGCCGGCGTAACTTTAAAGAAATAATTACTTGAATGAAATAATTTAACACTTTATGTTTTGAAATGTTCCTCAAGGGCGCTGAAACAGTGCTGAAATCCCCCTTAGAATGGTTCGGAATAATTCGCGGTCGAGCTAATATATAACCTATGAAATTTTTCTCACAGGAACAGAATCCGTGAAGCCGAAATATCGAGTCGCGGTCGGACAAACCTCCCAAGCCTTCTTTGCGCTGGGATTCTGCCTGCTTGCATTACTGGGATACTACATAAGAGATTGGAGAACTTTGCAACTCGCTATATCAGTTCCTCTGGCCGGAATTGTCGTGATTTTATGGTAAGACTTCGAAATTGATTGGTCTATACCAGGGCTACTCAACTTTTTCACCGAAGTTCTGTTTACAAAACTTCAAAATAACAGGTGTCCGGACATTTCAGAAAACTATTTTATCAAATAAACAAATGTTTTATTAAATTAAATACAAGAGCAATGATTGGTTCACAAATATGGACACAAATTGGTACCAGTACGGCAAACTGTATAGCCGTGTATGTAAATAGTATCAAAATCATCAACGAAAACTTTAAAACGATGCTCATGCTGCATACGCGGTCCATATTGAATGGTCGAAAGGTCCGTATTCGGACCGCGGTCCGCCAGTTGAGTAGCCCTGGTCTACACTACAGTCTACACCCCCCATTGGAGGAAGAATATTTAGGAGAAAAGCGCACCAAATATGAGCCCCTTAGTACGGACATAGCCATTCATTTGTAGGGCTAGGCATTTTCGAATACCTTGTGATTTTAGAATCGAATCGAATAATTTTTCGAATCGAATCGAAAATACTTGAAAATATATAATTGTAAGCGACTTTATTATAGTAATTGGTCCCCTCAACAAATGAATTACTGAAGACAGAATAAATCACTCAGATAGATTAATGAGCGTTCACACAGAATAACTCACTACAGGAAATAGCCATATGTTAGAATTTCGTTGAAAAAATATGACTCCAATGAAAAAAAACTTGGGGAATTCACTTCGACCATTAGCAGAAAGATAAAAACAAGATGGCGGCGATTCGAAGTTTAGCTCTGAACCGATTCGAATAATTTACTATTCGATTCGAAATGCTCAGCCCTATTCATTTGTAATGTGGTTCTGAAAATACTAATTGCCAAGTTAGAAGTAACAGCTAGCCGGTCAGGCCGGAAACGAGGATTGTCAAGTATCTTACAAAGCGTTTCAAGCTACGAAAATTGACGATGTCTGATACAGAAAATGCTTTTTCTACATTTCAAAGAGGGGGTATCCCAACTCTTAACCCCATTCCCATTGGCTACGGTCCTGCGCGTCGGACTCCGAACTTCACTCCCCTCTCCTTCTTGGCTGAAACCACTGTAATGGACCTTTCCCCGACCTTTCTTATACTTGACCATTGCAAAATTTTCGGGGCTCATTTTAAGTTTGGTTCCGCCAGTTGGCGACTGTAAAATGTGGTATTTGTTTCAAACCATTATTATGATACATCGCGTGTTTTTTAGAAGTACCGGTAAGAAATTTTAGACTAGTCTATCCCAGCTATTTCTACACCAATTCCTTTTTACTGCGAGTAAATTAAAACTTCTAAAAAGACATAGTGATCGTTGAATTATCTGATTTATATTTAAATTTCCAAAACGCAACTAAAAACTAACGAATAGAGTTCAAAAACACGAAAACGAGGTGATGTTTACAACCACGCCTGAAAATCTGTCTGAGTGAGAAAAGTGTCTAAGCGGATGTGAAAAGGGGGCATTGTTACGTCACTTGTTGCATCTTGCTGATTGGCCAATGTCACCATGTAAACAAGGAAGTTGATGCTCGGGGAAAGGTCCATAGGCTGCGCTTATTGCAATAAATCTACACGCTCGTGTTACTCTAATCGGCCACTTTAACAATCTTTCTTTGTATAACTTTTAGGTTTTTATTTGAGTCTCCTCGTTGGCTGATTTCTTCCAAGAAGTACATTGTTGCCGAGAGGATTGTAAGAAAGATCATGGACAGTGGGAAAAACTTGCACAGTGATGAAGCAAAGAAATTAGAAAGCATCGCCCACCAGTAAGATGTATTTGGTTGTATTATGATGAGTTTTTATGACAAAATTGGGAGTGTAAATTTTGGATAAAATTCAGTGGAATCCTTAAAATCGCTCACCATTAAGCGGTATTTGGTTGTATTATAATGAGTTTTCATGACAAAATTAGGAGTATAAATTTTGGATCAAATTTAGTGGAATCCTTGTGACCAGGGCAAAACGCAAACAAAATGCATTGTGAAGTAAAGCGTTCGTTTGTAACAAGCACTACTCAGAAGATTGAGAAGATGTTGGGCCCCCATTTCAAAAAATTCGCAATGAATAGATTCATTTAAACCAGGGTTGTACAACAGGTGCACACAGGCCACTATCCGGCCCGTCAAGCCAGCTAGTGTGGCCCTTGTCACCACTCAGTTTTCCCTACCAAGCATAAAACATTAAAATGACAAATCTTTTCTAAGTCCATTCAATTTTTAGACAAAGAATTTACCGCGGAATTGACGACGGTCAAGAAGCAGAGAGCCTGCACACCGAGAAGACAGATGAGAAAGAATTGAAGTCTTCAAAGAAAATGTATTCTGTTATCGATCTTCTGAGGTCTCCGAATATGAGAAAAAAGTCTTTCATCCTGTTTTATGAATGGTAAGAAAAGTTTTGGGATCAGAGTACCGAAGTACTACCGAAGTATGTGAACCAAGATGGCGGACACCTGAACATAGTATGTGCACCAGGTTAGGGTCAGGCGAAAATTATATTTCAATTTTCTTTATTTTAGTTCTCATACGAGTTTGGGGACTAGCCAAGTGACTCTTGTAGTATTTGTATTAGAAATCATGGCCTAACCCTAACCTGCCCGAACCTTCAGAGATGCGGTGACGAGCGTATTCCTAACGCTTAGCACGATGCGCCACACCGCCGAGCACGTTTTGAACTTCGTGGCCATGTATTTGAGCATCGTTTTCTTGTTTTTCAGGATGGTGACTTCAAGTGTGTACTACGGTTTAACACTAAATGCCGCCGATCTTGGAGGAGATCCGTTTATTAATTTATTCATATCAGGAATTGTGGAAGTACCTGCATCCTACATAGGCGTTGCCTTGCTAGAGAAATGGGGACGAAGACCTACACTAGTGTTCTCACTAACATCTGGAGGAATCGCCTGCATCTGTATGATGTTCGTACCGAAAGGTGGGTGAGACTTATAATACAGCGGGGATGGGCCCGCCGAAGTCTTTTAATAGCCCACTTAAGTCTGCTGAAATTACGACTATAGTTTTCATGGATATGAATTTCCGTTGAAAATGATGTCATAATGACCCTGATTGTTTCATAGTGCTTCTCGTTATTGTTAGCCTAGCTGATGTAAATAAACTTATTTTATTTAAAGTTTTGCATATTGAGTTTTGGGCCTTCGGCCCGGTAACCAAAGTTTTATTATCTGTAACTGGCGCACTCAGGAATATAATAACCCCTGCGATACGGGGTATGATTGGTATTCAATAGCCTCATTCAGTTACTTGTTTATACTAGCGCATCCATATCAGCGTTGTAGGTGTTGCTGCTTAAAGACCTCTCTGGGTCAATCGCGACCCTGGTCACAGAATTAACATAATCAGTATATTTGTTTGTTGTATCAATTTTTTATATAATCGTTTTTTTGTGATGACAAATAAACGATTGAGTGATCTTCTGGTTGAAACAAAGGTCATTTTTGTTAATTAAAATTCACTAAAACTAGATGTCACTGCCTTTATGTGAACTTTTTTGATCGCAACAAAAGGCGAGTTATGTCTAACATAGGCGTAGCCTTTTGGGGGCATGGATAACTTCTGTATAGAGTTATTTTAAGAAGATAATGTTGGTAGCTGCTTTTATCTTGACTTGTTCGGAGCAAAAGACACGAGTAACCGCCGTATTACGCCAAAATACCAAAAAAATTACCTTCTCACCAAAAATTTTGAGCTGGCTGCGATCTCGATGTCTAATTAAAATCTTGAGGAGTATTTCAATAACACTAGATGTCGCTTTTCCAGATCTCCTCTGGTTGAACATCTGTCTCTCCATGTTCGGGAAATTTAGCATCGCAGCGGCTTTTGGGACTGTTTATATCTACGCAGCAGAGATATACCCAACGCCAATAAGGTAAGCTTACCTATAGTATACACCACTGGTTCCCAAACATTCGCGCCTCGTAGCTAGGGCTGGGCATTTTTGAATACCTTGTGATTTCAGAATCGAATCGAATAATTTTTCGAATCGAATCTCGAATACTTGAAAATATATAATTGTAAGCGACTTCATTATAGTAATTGGTTCTCTCAACAAATGAATTACTGAAGACATAGAATAAATCACTCAGATAGATTACTGAGCATTCACACAGAATAACAAACACGTTTTATCAATAACTCATTACAGAAAATAGTCATATGTGGGAATTTCGTTGAAAAAATATGACTCCGATGAAAAAAAAAATGGGGAGTTCATCCCGACCATTAACGGAAAGATAAAAACAAAATGGCGGCGATTCGAAGTTTAGCTCTGAACCGATTCGAATAAATCACTATTCGATTCGAATATTCGATTCGAAATGCGCATCAGTACTCGTAGCCCCTTTCCGGAGACTTTAAGCCCTTCAACCACCTCTGTTTGTCATTCCAGTGGTATTTATAGAGCTATTTCGATTGGTCGATTCCAAATCCCATTATGTTCAAACAAGGAAGGAAGGGAGGATTTACATATTTATCCCGGGGAGAGGAAAGCCGATAAGACGGCCTAATCATATGGCGTACCACGGCCTCTCGTTCGGTTACCATTCCAAGTCGGGTATGGGATTAGTTATATTGTTTGTTTTCGGAAGCATGGACTTGGTGGCGGAGGAAGCCGTAACCGACCAGCGGTTACGTGAACAACCCTAGGGCGGCGAGGAGTCCAGCAATCATCTCGCACATGGTCATCCCCGCATGGGATTCGAACCTGCAAACCCACAAAGGGTAATCAGAGATGCCGTGGCGAGCGTATTCCTAACGCTTAGCACGATGCACCCCAACGCCGAGCCAATTTATGCTCACCAAAGTGAAAACGCTCTTTGACATTACCTCATCAAGCAGAAATTCCTAATTGCCGAGTTGACCTAGGCCAACAGGTCCGGCTGAAGGTCGGAAACGTGAACTTTCAAGTGTCTTAAGAGCGTTTCAAGTTACGAAAATTGCCATGTGATGTATGATACAGGAAAAAGGGGGCTGGGGGCTCTCAAACATTTATAGACACGCCCCTATTATGATCGCCTCCATCCGCCGGTCATTTCAGCAAACGCAGTACTCAACTAGAGCCTTCTACCGCTACTTTTCCTATTTTTGAGCGTTTATCTCTTGTTTTTCAGAAATCTTGGATTAGGTGTCTGCAGTAGCTGGGCTCGTATAGGAGGAATCCTTTCCCCATTCATTGCAATGTTAGATGAATATGCCAAGCCACTACCTTATGTCGTATTCGGACTAATGTCCATATTTGGAGGTAAGAGACGAATTTTTTATCACGGGTGTAAAAAATGGAATATGATATCGTGTGTTGAGATCTGCATATTTTCCTTAAGGGTGAAAAAAGGCGACGCGACATCTTACTTACATGGCCTGCTACGAATGTCCGGTTCTCAGTTCGTGTCTGATATGGGATTCGTTAGTTTCGTTTTGGAATCATGAGCGTGTTGTTGGAGAAAGCCGTAACCGACATGCGGTTACGTGAACCACCCGACAGCGAGGAGTCCAACAATCCTCTCGCATATGATTATCCCCGCATGGGATTCGAATCTGCAAACCCACGCAGGGTAATCAGAGATGCGGATGCGAGCGTATTCCTAATGCTTGGCACGATGCGTCACGCCGCCGGTTCCTTCCAAACAAAAGTAGCCCTTCACATATCCCTTACATCAGTGGGCGGCTATAAGTCTTTTTGGGAGCAGAAGTAACCGTGCACGTTGTTTATAAAAGGGTTATAAAGTTAATTATATCTGGGTTTTGTTTGTTTTTCGTCCTTAATCAGGATTTTATCCGCATACGGGGTTAAAATAATCTGAATTATTCTTAATTACAGGCTTTCTCGCTTTGCTATTACCGGAAGTTATTGGAATCAAGCTACCTGAGACGCTGGAGGAAGGCGAGGCATTTGGAAAAGATCAAGTGTCACCACTGGCACGACTATGCTTCCGCAAACGCGTGTTACGTCACGATGAAAATGGTATCGAGAAATTGGACTACGCAAAAATTGCCTACAGCAGCACCACTGACCCATCAACAACAGAACTGAAGTTGAAGGATGATGACGTAATGGAAATTTGAACTTTGAGGTCATGGGTTATAGGTTATTCAATTCACAGAATCTGAATTTTTAATGATCGCTAAGTACCGGCGTCCGTGTACAGTGAACAAACTTAAAAAAATATTCAAGTACATGCTTCAGATTATTTTAGTAGAAGCTGAACAAGACAAAACTGTACAGCCAGGCCAGTGGCCTTTAATAAATGGCGATTCAATGAAGGTTTCCCCAACCATTGAGTCCGAAAAAAATATTTCTATACTTTACAATTACAAAATTTCCGATGCTTAATTTGAGACTGTTTTTGCGAGTAGACGCTCTCAACCTGGTTTGCATTTTTCAAACCATTATTACAATTCAAAATATTCAATCAATTCTCATAAGAACGTACCGGTTGATAATTTTAGCCTAGTCTATCGTAGATTCATGACTATTATTCGATTACTGAACTAAAGTATTCAGAAAACTAAATGATCATTGAGTTATTTGATTTATACCCAAATTTTACAAATACAACCAAAAACTGACAATGGCTTGCAAAACCGCAAAAACGAGCTAATGCTCATCACCGTACCTGCTAATCTATCCGAGTGGCCGACAAAATTTCAAATGTTACGTCACGATCTTGTTGACTGGCCAATGTTACGTCACGATCTTGTTGACTGACCAATGTTACGTAACCAAACAAAGGAATCGATGCTCTGGGAAACATCCATTTATCTGAACTTTTCGCTGCCATACCCATCAATATACTTCTTTATCGATATACTATATTCACTGTGGTGCTCCCCATTCGCCAACAAAATGTTTATTAGTTTATTCTAAGACCTTCTGCCCATTTGTACTGTGCTATTCATTGCTATAAATCTCAGTAGGCCTACCTCAGGAGACTTTAGTACTCGTGACTTATCTAAGAGAACAATTTTCTTTACCTCTGAGTCAGCGCGTACAACTTTGCTTTACGAATTTTTTTTTTTATACATATATATGTAACATCAAGTCGCTCTCGCATTATATGCAGTGGTGGGAATCAAATTTTTTGTCAGCCGGTTCTATCACAAAAGTCATATTTTTCAGCCGTTTCTGTTACAGAAAGTCATTGACAGTAACCAGTAGTTCTAACAGGTTCGCTGATCTCATAAAATTCCGTGAGACGATTCTATAGAACCGGTGAGAACCGACTGAATCTCACTACTGATTAAATGCAAGAAACTCATTTGCTCAGATACTCACTGTGATAGTACAGCACATGTATATTAGAGTCTAGTATACATGTGCTGTTCTGTCGTAGTGCTGGGTAATTCTGCACTATAAATATTCAATCTTAGTACATCTTTTCACTTCGCCCCGAGGGAGCTTCTAAGTGAGCGCGCCTGACTTTGATCGGAGCAAATTTTTTATGTAAATATCAGTACAAAGTACTATATATATTAGCATTGCATGCTCAAAACATTCGAGATTTACATAAATGCTGTGAGATTCTTGAATTACCCAGATTAGTAGTCTTTAATTTACTGTTTCTACAACTTCCTTACCAAAATTTGGGGAGTGGTAGATATTTTGCTATTGGTAACTATCTATTCTACTAATCATCTGCACCAGCATACAATCGACTTTTGAGATATGTGTGTGTTGAGGAGGGGGGGGGGGGGGTGCTTGGGGGAATCCACAAGCGAAAAAAACATGGAAGGATAAATAGATGGTGTCGCAGAAACCTCATTGATAGCATACTGTATACTACCTGCATTTTTCATTTGATTTTCTAATTTTTCTCTAAATCTGTGTGAGTTTTTAAGTTCTGTTTAATCGAAATAAACACTGTTTAGTTGCAAAAAGTGTTTTGGTCTGTCTTGTGTGAATTTCGTGTGTTTTGAAAAACTAGATTTGAGAAATTTTAAAAGAATTTAAAAGTTTTAATTTTACGTCATATCCAAGAGAGAAAACATTTCAGTCACTCGGTTGATTATAAACTTATGTTTTTTACTGTTAGTGACCAGTGGTTTTAACAAGTAACGGTAAATAAGGAAGTCTCTGCTAGTCAGTTAGCACTATCGGTACCTACCGAAATGAGAATAAATGTTCAAGCGTCGATCACTGTCTTTCGTAAAACGGACGAAATACATGGATCAAAATTATGACGTACAACAACATTAATGACGACGATATCAGATAATCGACGCGCAGGGGTGCCTTCCAAGTTCCCCTAATCTAGTGCTTCTTAACGTTTTTTATATCGCGGCCCACTTTCACGGATAGTCTTATTACGGCGGACCACTTTCATTATCATATTTTTCAGAGGCTAAAATAAGTCGAGGCAGGGTAGTACAAAACGAGTCGAATATTCGAATATCAAAGTATTCGAATACTTTTTTGGCGAATTTCCAAATAAAATCCACTTTTTTTCGCCGTCAGCTACGTATTTCGTTTTCAAGAGTAATCTTCAAATGATTTTCTGCGATTTTTTACGTATTGTAATGACTAGTGTTGCGATCGCGGGATTTTCGGATTTCAATCCCGATCCCGGGTTTATTTTGAATAGAATTCCGGGATTTATCTCAGGTCGGAGATCACGCGCCGGAAACAATGCCATCCGCCGAAAACTTGACCAAGTTCCAAAATGTTTATACGTCCATAAAACTCATAACACATGTCGCACAGACCCCTTGAACACATTAAATCTACTACGAGAATTCCCCTTCAGATAGAAACCGAGAGTTCCGGACTGCTTAAAGTTACCAAATATAAACCTATTGTAAAATCGATGTCAGCGGTAATGCAGCAGCAGAAATATATATTGTATTCTTGCTTTGAAAGTAACAAAGCATGGTTTTTTTTCGTTGAATTTAGCCGATTTTGGCACGCGAGCAGAAAAAGTTGCCCACCCCTGCCCTAGGGCTAGGCTATGCCATTTGTGAGGCGGCCCTTCTTTAAAAATGACGTCACAATAATCCATAAGGCGTCATAATACATATTTCACGGTTACGTTTAAAATGTGATATGACGTCATGAATGACATTTCAAATTGCGTTAAAAACAATATTTTTATTGGAGGTAAGATACGTACGCTAATCACCTAAGTAAATTTGATATTAAATTGAATTTAAAAACAAACTCAAGCTGTATTAAAACTTCATGGCACCAGAAATACGACGTCATATTACCCGTTTGTAGTCGCGAAAGGTGGTAAGACATCGCTCACGAATAAAACATCACTGATATTTGAAATAATCGGATCTACAATAAAAAAAGATCAGAAATAATAATAAATATAACAAGAGAGCTACGCCCAAATATATGGACACGTCTGTTCGCAGTAAAGTACGGTTTACCGTACCGTCAGATCACAGTCTACAAATATATTCACACCAAGCGAAGCAGTACAGTAGGACACAAAATGGCGTCCGATGTCCGCAGAACGTTTAATGACGTCATAGCAAACAAAATTTTTTTATCTTTAACCACTGAAAATTTCAAAGCAATTGGTCCAGTATTCGAAGAGAAAAGCGGCCATAGTTCATACCCGATATGGACTGGTAACCAGACGAGAGGCCATTCCTCCTCCCCCGAGATAAATATGTAAATGTCATCCTATCCATAAACCTTCAAGCCACTTCTGCTCTAACAAGGCTGTGAACAAGCAGCAATTGATTCTAACACATATACTCCATGGGTGTAGCCAAAGGGGTACGCTCTTTCATATACTGTTTTAATAGAAAGCTGCTATTTTGTAAGAATAGGAATCTTTTTGGTCCAACATTGCCTACCACAGGCTAAAAGCGCCATGGCAAAATTTAAAAAATGTGCCCCTTCGATCATTGTATGACAACCGTTAAGATTAGTTATTGAATTGAGTTACTTAATAGTTTTATTTCCAAATAATCAATAAAACATTTTACAATCAACACTAATTGGCCTTTCATCCAAACGGCACCCCACTTTTTGCCCCCGTCCAAATAGCGCCTGTTCCGCGAGTCAAGGCTGCCATATCCTAGGCATGCCACTGATGCACAATATGCGTAACCTGCTATTTAAAATAGTTGAGTTACTAAGTTTCTAAGAGTCTTGTTTTGATGAGACATTGGCGATAGAGCCAGGTTTGAGGGTCGAAACCCCCTTTTTTCAAATGTGAAAAAAAGCATTTTTCTGTATAATACATTTTCAAAACCCCCCTATTTGAAAATAGCGATAGAGTCGGGGTCAAGTGTCAGAACCTCCCTTCTGAATTGTGAAAAAAAAAAATTTCGGTACCATACATAGTAATTTTTCGTAGCTTAACGTTCATAACCTGCAAAAAATCTTGATAACCCATGGACGCGCTAGTAGGGCTGGGCATTTTCGAATACCTGATATTTTCAGAATCGAATCGAATAATTTTTTCGAATCGAATCTCGAATACTTAGGAGATTGTATGTAACTTTCTTATTGTATTGGGTCCTCCAGACACATAAATTACTTGAAACGTAAAATACATCACTCAGTCAGATTGCTGAGCGTTCACAAACAATAAAAACACGATTTCATCAATACCTCGCTTCAGAAAAGAGTCATATGTCAGAATTGTGTTGAAAAAATATGGCTAAAACTTGAGAAATTTACCTCGACCATTGGAGGAAGGAAAAAACAAGATGGCGGCGATTCGAAATTTTGCTCTGAACCGATTCGAATAATTTACTATTCGATTCAAATAGGATAGGATTTACATATTTATCCTGGGGGTTAGGAAAGCCGATAAGACGGCTTATCCATATGGCGAACCACGGCCTCTCGTCCGGTTACCATTCCAAGTCGGGTATGGGATTAGTTATATAGTTTGTTTTCGGAAGCATGGACTTGGTGGTGGAGGAAGCCGTAACCGACCAGCGGTTACGTGAACCACCCAACGATGGCGAGGAGTCCAGCAATCCTCTCGCACATAACCATCCCTGCGTGGGATTCGAACCTGCGAACCCACGCAGAGTAATTAGAGGTGCGGTGGCGAGCGTTTTCCTAACGCTTAGCCCGTTGAGCCACACACGAATATTCGATTCGAAATGCCCAGCCCTACCCGCCAGCTGTTCCCGTCTAACTTAGCAATTAGAAAATTCAGAACCCCCCTTAAAATTCCCGTCGACGGACCTGGATGGTGAGTGCCCACATAGTTAATGCTCTAATCCAGGGGTTCCTAAACCAGGGGTCGCGACCCCAAATTGGGTCGGAGTGATAAATAGGTAGGGTCGCAACCAGGTCATGGGGTCGCTGAGGTATGGTAGAGGATGGATGTACAACTCATCTAAGATTTGACAAACCATGTTAAATTTAGCAGTTTGTACCATGGCTTAATGTAAAACAGGCCCATATGCATCGCTATATGCTTTTGTTATTGAAAATATAGGTGTTTATTGTGACATCACTGTTGGGTTTTAGCTTATTTTACTTAATACCACCACATGACCAAACTCGAAAGTCCAGTGAAAGAAGCTCTAAAGTTTCATGAAAAATATATATATTGACCTGGGGTCGCACTGGACACTTGAAAGTTGTCTTTGGGGTCGTCCTGAAAAAAGCTTGGGAACCCCTGCTCTAATCGTTAAACAATCTTGTCCACAATACCGAAAATAAAATCAATCATTCTAGAATCAATGTAATTTAATAACAATACAAAATTAAGACTGATATTTAATAAATAATTAAGAAAAAAAAATCAAATGGAAATTAATGCTGTTGGAAAGGAGTAGGAACGAGAGCAGATAATAATAGAAGAACCACCACAATATGCGGATATCTCTAGTCTAGTGGCTCTTAACCTTCTTTATCTCGTGGCCCACTTCGGTTGCCCAAAATGTTTTGTGCCTCATTAACTTTCTCATGCAAGGAAAAAACTAAGAGAAAACAAAAAATTCTTTATGCAGAATTAGACACTTACATTTCCAAAATTTAAATTACCATTTAGTAGCTTAGTACAGGATTATCATTCATTGCTTCTACAATCAAAGTTTTGTAATTAACTAATTTATTAATAACTCTTGTAATTTTAAAAATGTTTGTGGCTCAGCAGTGGGCCATGGCCCACTGTTTGAGAACCGGTGCAAGGAGTCGAGTCGGTCATTAATGAAATACTAATTGTATGGCTCAGAGCATATCAGTGGACAGTTGCAACTTTTCCTGCCAGTGGTTTTTATATTTCTGAGACTTGAAATTGCACATAAATTACTGGAAACGTAAAATACATCACTCAGACAGATTGCTGAGCGTTCACAAACAATAAAAACACGATTTCATCAATACCTAGCTTCAGAAAAGAGTCATATGTCAGAATTGTGTTGAAAAAATATGGCTAAAACTTGAGAAATTTACCTCGACCATTGGAGGAAGGAAAAATCAAGATGGCGGCGATTCGAATAATTTACTATTCGATTCGAAATGCCCAGCCCTACCCGCCAGCTGTTCCCGTCTAACTTAGCAATTAGAAAATTCAGAACCCCCCTTAAAATTCCCGTCCACGGGCCTGGATGGTGAGTGCCCACATAGTTAATGCTCTAATCCAGAGGTTCCCAAACCAGGGCTGGTGACCCCAAATTGGGTCGGAGTGATAAATAGGTAGGGTCGCAACCAGGTCATGGGGTCGCTGAGGTATGGTAGAAGATGGATGCACAAAACATCTAAGATTTGACAAACCATGTTAAATTTAGCAGTTTGTACCATGGCTTACTGTAAAACAGTCCCATAGGCATCACTCTATGCTCTTGTTATTGAAAATGTAGGTATTTATTGTGACATCACTGTTGGGTCTTAGCTTATTTTACTTAATACCACCACATGACCAAACTCGAAAGTCCAGTGAAAGAAGCTCTAAAGTTTCATGAAAAATATATATATTGACCTGGGGTCGCACTGGACACTTGAAAGTTGTCTTTGGGGTCGTCCTGAAAAAAGCTTGGGAACCCCTGCTCTAATCGTTAAACAATCTTGTCCACAATACCGAAAATGAAATCAACCATTCTAGAATCAATGTAATTTAATAACAATACAAAATCAAGACCGATATATAATAAATAATTAAGAAAAAAAAATCAAATAGAAATTAAAGCTGTTGAAAAGTAGTCGGAACGAGAGCAGATAATAATAGAAGAACCACCACGATATGCGGATATCTCTAGTCTAGTGGTTCTTAACCTTCTTTATCTCGTGGCCCACTTCGGTTGCCCAAAATGTTCTGTGCCCATTAACTTTCTCATGCAAGGAAAAAACTAAGAGAAAACAAAAAATTCTTTTTGCAAAATTAGATACTTCCATTTCCAAAATTCAAATTACCATTTAGTAGCTTAGTACAGGATTATCATTCATTGCTTCTACAATCAAAGTTTTGTAATTAACTAATTTATTGATAACTCTTGTAATTTTTAAAATGTTTGTGGCCCAGAAGTGGGCCATGGCCCACTGTGTCGAGTCGGTCACAAATAAAATTCTAATTGTATGGCTCAGAGCATATCAGTGGCCAGTTGCAACTTTTCCTGCCAGTGGTTTTTATATTTCTGAGACTTGAAATTGCTGTTGAAATAAAAAATTTACGACCACCAAAATACTATACTAACACTGAATGACTTTTCAGTGAAAACCTTGCTACAAAGTGCAAAACCTGTGAAAAACCACTAAAATCAAGAATTTAAAATATCCATTATAAATAATTTCAAATCAATTTTGGATACTCCTGGCAACGAATGCATCATTATAAATAACAGACTCAATATTGGTTCATATTAGCAAAGAATAAAATAATGTTGATATAACATATATTGCACAATATAATATATTAAAACGAAAATAAATCTAGGTATGCTTGAGAAATAGAGCACTATCTTGGCATTGGATTATTTTATTCCTAATTAATTGCTGTGACTTCAGAGACAAAGAAAAATAATTAAATTTTACAGTTTCGAATTTGAGACTTCTAAGAGTTGCACAAAATGAATCTCATATTTAGATATATCACAGAAAGATTCAAGACAAAAAGCATGCGATTCTGAAAACACTCCCACTGTATGACCTAACCAAGCGTTCTCTAATACTGTTAATAAAAAAACCTTGGTCATCTAAATATATTTTTGAATTTCTATGGAAAATTTCAACTTCAATTATTGCTAATAAATTGGTCTCTTCCATGGCACACAAATAAATAGTGATTTGTTTGAAATCTCATTTTAATATTTCGTTAAATTTTATAATCATCTTAGATTATGTTGCCATCTGTATTCGAGCGTCATTGTTTTTCAATAAGAAGGAATTTCGCATTTTTTACCGTAAGTAATTTGAGCAAAAATCATTCTGAAAATTCTATATTCATACTATTTATTTTAAAAAAACACAATTTTCGTTACTTCCAACAAAAATTTTGGGGGTAAATCCCCCCCTCCCACCCACCAAAAAAACACATCTAATTCCAATCATCGTCATCTCCAGCATCAGTGGTTTGACTTTGCGTCGGCGCTGGAATCATCGCAGATATTTTCTCCATCGCCGAACCGCCTCCAAGGTTACTATTATTATCATTGGCTGAGGCAGGCCGTTCAGCACCAGCCCCCTTAGCTCCCCGAAATCCCTTTTCGTCTCATAGCGAGACGGCTTGCTAGATCAGACATCATATCGCCACCGCCTGACGAGCTCGCAGCGGCTTTCGCTTCTTTTTCTTTCTTTTTAGCGAGCTTTCGGTCTTTGCTACTCTTCAGTTTAACTTTTCCGACACCGCCAGCTTTGCGGATCGAGTCGAGTAAATTAGAGCGCCCACCATCAGGAGTAGCAACAGATTCCGGAACTGCGCTCGGAGCAGAGGGGGGTGGTGGTGGAGGGGGCGGGGGAGGAGGCGGGACTCCAGCAGGTGGCGCTGATGTGTTTGGAACAGACGGGGGAGGAGGTGGGGGTGGCGGATTTGAACTTGGAGGTGGGGGAGGAGGCGGAGTTTCCTCTTTACTGCCACTATCTGGAACATCAGGTAACGCATCTCCGACACCTGGTAAATCTGGTAAGTTACTAATTGCGAGTAACGAGGGGGCAATACTCTCGCTCACGTCCGAACTGAACGTTAAATCCGCAACACCAGGTAAATCAGGCAAATCCATCGGAACGTCGATTTCTGGTACATCCCCCAAATCTGGAACGTAAAAATAATTCTCTGCAACATGACGTTCCATTTGTTCTCTATTGCTGATTGACATTGGTGCGTCTCCGAGCCTACTGTCATCTGCTTTCTCTTCATCCAGACCAGTTTTGGTTTTCGTCGTAACACCGAGAGGATCGAAAATGGTATATTTCTTATACGGGTTCTCGGATGAGTTGAACAGTAATAGCGAACTCAGGGATGCAATATTTGAGGGTAATCCCCCAAGTCCCTCCCCACTTTGATCGACGTATGGAGCCGATTTGGTTCTCGGTCGAGGGAGATTGTAAATTTGCATCTTGTTTTTTAAATTTTCATCCTCAAATGCTAAATGCCTTGTTTTTATTTTTCGATAATTTTGTTTGACTTCCTTCAATGAGCTTTGCATATCTTTGAACATTGAAATATATCTCTCTCGTTCTTCGGACGCTGGGTATTTCGAACTAGAAAAAACCTGCGTCGCTCGGTTACTTCCCCGGACTTTTTCGATTCGCGCTTCAGCGGTTTTAATTCTGTCCATCAAAGCATCAAGTTTCTTTTTGTTATCCGCGACTCTGTTGTTCACTCTTGCAAAAACGTCATCTGAAACTCCAGAGAGATAATCTAATGAGTCCGCAAACTGCATGATCGTTTCATCCCGTCGTAAATCGAACGGGATTACTGGAATGCTGTACATTTGCTCTCTTTCTACCATTTTGAATTGTTGTTTATAACTAACAAAAGTTCTGGTAAGTGCAAGAAATCTTTTTAATGTAAAGTTAGTATTCTGAGTTGTAGTTTTTAAGAAATTTGGTCAAAAAATATCATGTCAGCACATATACTCACTCGGAAATAAAGAAGATTGAGTTCTGAGCGAAGTTACAGGCGACCCCTAAACTGTCAAGCGCTACTTAAGTCTTATTGCACACAAACTTGAAAGCATTTTAGTATTTATGTAATGTCTCAATAAGCCATACTTTTTTGAACAAGCATCTATGAATATGTTGTGATAGTGTGCAGCCAAACTTTCTAGGTTACTCAAAATTTTCATGTACTACTCTTACTGCGACATTATACAGTTATATGCATTCTAAAATAATCCCAATTTTTCTTAGATGTGACGCACATCGAAAGATTAGTGATTGATTTGAGTTCTTTTCTTCATATTCATAAAGTTCTTATTAAAAAAGTCAATTCGCATACGTTTACAAAACGGTACAAATTAATTCAAGGCACGGGAAATATGATCTTAGCACGCGTCTGTCAACGCGCATCATCGATTGAATGCCCACATTTTCCCTCACAGCGATTTCTCTCGTTTAGCGTTTCACTAAGCGCGGTAAATATCTTACGAGTTAAGGAATATTAAATGATAATAAATCGTTCATTAAGGTCGGATATGAAAAACGCTAAATCAGTTAATTGCTGCGTAGGCGGGGACTTGCGTAGTGGGAAAGTCGTTGCCAACCGACCAGAGGTTATGTAAAGTTCAGAGACTTTCTCAGCGCGGCGGTGTGGCTCAACGGGCTAAGCGTTAGGAATACGCTCGCCACCGCACCTCTAACTACTCTGTGTGGGTTCGCAGGTTCGAATCCCATGCAGGGATGGTTATGTGCGAGAGGATTGCTGGACTCCTCGCCGTCGTTGGGTGGTTCACGTAACCGCTGGTCGGTTACGGCTTCCTCCACCACCAAGTCCATGCTTCCGAAAACAAACAATATAACTAATCCAATACCCGACTTGGAATGGTAACCGGACGAGAGGCCGTGGTTCGCCATATGGATAAGCCGTCTTATCGGCTTTCCTCTCCCCCGGGATAAATATGTAAATCCTATCCTATCCTATATAATTAATTGGAAAGCAGCTAATTTCGTTAAAAAGAATTTGTAAACTTTTTTGCATTGGGTTCTTCTATTCACAATAACTTTTCGTTCCTAATTTATTTCGATTACCTTCAAAAATAGCCGAGATACATTCTGTTGTTTATCAGTCTGACATTCGTGCGGTCACAGTTTTTTAGTCGGCGCAATACAATCCTTATGGAAAAAAATTGGCCTGGCGGGCGGTATTTAAATGCCGATATCTCCATTAATTCTTGACTGTTTTTCGCAAACTTGGTATTGTTTTCTTATTTTCACTTAGATCTATCCACTGGTGCAGTTTTTATTTAAATCGGATGAACTTTAATTTTTTTGTAACATACCTACTGAAACGAACAACTGCTGAACTGGCTAACTAATCACATACCCGAGATGGGCAGTTAATCGAACGAGAAGCCGTAGTGCGCTATATAAATAAGCCGTTCTATCGACTTTTCTTTCTGTCGGTACCGGTATAATGATAAAAACTATCTCTGAAATAAGCACAAGAAACAGCGACAGCGTAAAGAGAAAATGGACGACTATTTCAGGGTATTCCCCTCAACTTAATCACATGACGCGCTCATTCAACTGTGAATTTAAAATTCTAAAACGATTAGTTTCTGAAGTTTTGCTCAATTATGAAATTAAAATAATAAATAATTTCAAGATTAAACTAATTTAAACATTTTAGACAAAACCTCCATTTCTTCATAGCGAAAATTTGATAAGTCTTCCAGAAACACAGGTTACGAACTTTGACCCTAGCTTTGTTGCTGCTTTTGGATCGAGGTTGTCGATTCGCTCTTTTCGGGAACGTCCTGCCAATCAAGGTGAATGTTCGATTTACTCCTAATTTTAATCTGTCCTGATCTAAACAATAGTAAAGTTTTTCATTGATGTTTTGTTAATTATAGAAAATTCATAACTCTTTATTTCAAGTTGTCGTTTCTAATATAGTCCTAAAAGCCTTATATGATACGATGATTTTATCTTTAAGTGGCGTATACCGAAAGAGTTTCATGTGTAGTATTTTCTGCATTTACTGTGGAAAAATTGAGGTCACAGCTCAATTGAGTATGTGATTTACTTCAAAAGCAATTGGCATAATAATCAGAAGGTTTCTATAAGTTATATTATTACCTGTAACCATGCATTTATTGTTTTATGGGAATACTTCTATATGCTTGAAACCTTATTGAAGGGTGTTGCCAGTTATTTCAATTTCCTAATCTTCTGTGTGTTCATCGTTTCAATTGCAACAAAATTTTTATTATACATGTAATTCTGTCATTTTGTATTGCTGTTGTACAGAGATTCGGATGCCAACGATCATATACTGCTCGATGCCATTATTATTATGGTTATTTCAATTTTGTAGATGGTGGCGAAAAAAGACAAGAAGCGTTCTGGTGGGGCGATGAAAGATGTCGTAACGAGGGAATATACGATTCATATGCATAAGAGGATTCATGGAATGTAAGTTGTTTATTCCATTTGCCAGTTTTTCGATTTTACCAAGTGTTTTTTTTTATATGTGTTTTTTTTTTATATGTGTTGTTTATCGGTCAAATCAAAATAAACAGGTACTCATTTAATGTCTAATTTTGGTTTTGATAATTACTAGAAAACAGCGTTTTTTGCCGAACAGAGCAAAATGTGCGAAACACTCAATTTTTCCATCGCTTACTGTTCATTTCTGTTTCACACTGTTTTCAGGGCTAAACCCCATCCAAAACCCAAGTTAAAAATGTTAGGTAATCATGCAAACTATAAAAAATGATACTGAAAAGCCGGCATAAGAAACAAAGGGCCCTTTTCATGATGGCGAATTTATGTGCATTTCTGCAGCATTTAAAAATGTGTTGATTTTTACAAAGTTTTAGGTTGAGCTTGACCAGGCATGTCCAAAATGAATGGAATATTCGAATACATTCAAAATTCATTATAATCCATATTGTAAATTTCTGAACTTAGGAATAAGGTTACGGCTTCCTCCACCAAGTCCATGCTTCCGAAAACAAATAACTAACTAATCCCATACCCTACATGAGCTGGTAACTAGACGAATTGCCTTGGTTCACCATATATGCCGTCCTACCAGCTTTTCCGCTCCAGAATCCTATCCAGTGTAAGAGACCAAATCCACGAATCGAATAATCAATTTTGTTTCAATCTTTTCAGGGGATTCAAAAAGCGCGCTCCCCGTGCCATCAAGGAAATCCGTAAATTTGCTCACAAGATGATGGGAACAGAGGATGTCAGAATCGACACCAGATTGAACAAAGCTGTGTGGGCACAAGGTGTCAGGTAAAGGGTGAATTTTTAACCTGTAGGCTTCATTTAGAACAAGTTTGTTCCCATGATGTTGACTAGAACTGCTTTTAGTTTAGCGTTTCTACTGTTGTGTGATGCACCACTACCATTTCATATTGTATTCCAGTCATGGCCTATAAATTTTCCTCTGAGGAGTTTATGTCAACTAGAAGTGAGTGTATGTAGCTTATGGGATTTTTGTGGTTACCTTTAATTCTGCCCAGAAGTGAATACTCTTCACTTCTGGCATTTCAGTGTTTGTCTGTAATATTGCTCAAGAGTTCTATTTTCGAGTAAGTGCGCAGAGTTCTCGGCGTTTCTGTCGCGCCTGCAACATTGCTCAGAGATGAGCCTCTTACTTTTTGTGTGTGGCCATGCTTTGAGCAATTTGTCTTCTATTTCAAATTCACTGAATTCGTTTGAAGTGTGCAGTGTAGAAAATTCTTAGGAGTTTAGAATTTTAAAATGTTGAAATATTATTTTGCCTTAATTTCTATGGCTTTCAGAAGTTAATGGGGTACAATGTTTATCACTTTCAAAGGTCTAATTATAAAAATATGAATCATCAAAATCATTTCCGCTGTGATAAAGCTAACTTATCGACTTTATCTGTCTTGGACTTATAGTTGATTTCGATAATAAATAAAGCACAACCGGTGTTAGCAAAACGATTATAATTTGTCGATCGAATTTCTGTTCTGAAAAACTTCATCAGGGCATGATATGGTGATAATTTTTTCTTTCTTTTTCCTTATATATATATAGAATATTGTGCTTACCATATCATTCTGCCAACTCCAGTTGTGCTTTATTTGTTATCGATATGAATATACCTGGTGGCAATCATGCGCTATTATGGTTGATTTGTTACTCATCAATCTTAAGATCGGTAAATATGTTGATAGGTATTTGTATGTCTTGTTTGTGTGTATGTCTGTATGTTAGATGCATGCGATATCTCACGGAAGCGAGGTTGAATCTGTGCATTCATCATAGCTCGGATCAGAAGCCTAGTGATTTTGGATGGATTATGTCCTATAGTTAGCGAGTTGTCACTATGGAGTAAGACCACTGTTTTGGGGGATCCCCTAACCTTCGATCAATAAGTCTTCGGTTTGTAACCGATGGAGTAAGACCACTGTTTTGGGGATCCCCTAACCTTCGATCGATAAGTCTTCGGTTTCTAACCGATATTCTAGTTTAGTTTTTGCCCTGTTTTTGAGAATTCATTTTTTTGCAAAGTCGTCAGCAGAGAGTTTGTTCTTTAAACCCAGCAAATCTCTCCTCCTGTGTCTTTGCTAAAGTACATGAGGGAGTTTGAGGCAATGCAGTCTCCTATACTGTATTGCTATAGAATCCTCATACAAGCCATAGTACTAGTATTTTGATCAAGACTTGGTTTAATTGAATGGTACGATGGTCAGTATTTTTGAACTGTGTCTCCAGCTTCATAGCGATTGAGGTTTTTGAGCACAATCATTGAAAGTATGTGAACCAAGATGGCTGACAACGGAACGTAGTATGTGTACCAGCAAGGTTAAGCCATAATTTTATTCCAATTTTTCAAATACAACGTTTCGGTGTCTGCCATCTTGGTTCACATACTTCGGGAGTACCAAATCATGAAACATCAGCCTGATTGCAGTTTTGCGGAAGTGGGACTCAAAACTGTGATATGAGGGTTTGCAATCAAAATACTATTTAAGTGGTGTGACGCAGGCCACAACCCGACGCCAAGCCATCTAGTGTAGCCATTGTCAACACTCGGATTTTTTCCCATCAAGCATAAAATCCTTATATGACAGTTTATGCTTGAAAAGTCGCTCACATGGATAAAGATAAACAATGTTTTTATTGCTCTTGTCGCTGCGTTGAATATTTCGTCGTTTTCGGTGCCTCAGAAATAATTCCTGAACCATAACATTTACTCATGCATGTCTTTATTTACAGAAATGTTCCGTACAGAATCAGAGTCCGTCTCGCACGGAAACGAAACGAGGATGAAGATTCCGTCAATAAATTATACACCTTGGTTACTTACGTTCCTGTCGCAACATTCAAGGGTCTTAACACAGTAAATGTTGATTCAGAAGAGTAAATTATGAATTTGAAAAGTTGTTTGGTTTTATTGTTCAGATGGGATCGGAAAGGGATTGTCAGTCTCTTGACAGGGTGGTTGGGATTATACGAGTTTGAGAAGAACAAGAAGGATAAATAGGAAATGTTGTCTTTGTCACTGTTCCCACTACAGTGTATATATTGGACGAAACAGTTCTCAAAAGTTGTTCTTAATCATGTTAAGATAGTGGAAAGCAAATGTTGGTCTGTGTTGTTCCCTTTTCAGCTGTAATTCTCTCGGTCTGTTTAAGGGTTGAGACTGTCCTCGATAAAAGGTTAACAATTTGTTGTTTTTCTCACTATACTTCATGAGGTGCAGACATTCTTGCTTCTGAAACTAGTAGTGGTTACGGTTAGATTATTTTTTTTGTAGCTCTGAATTCTGGGGACCAGCTGGGAGTGTGGGACCCTCAGTGGTGATATTATGTTGATGCCACTGGCCTGTTGGTCTACCGTACTGAGGTAAATTTGGTAGGCCTGCTTCCTTAGGATCAGTCGCTGTGTGTGGATGTGGAACATAGCTAACCACATGCCCACTCATCCGGTATGCAATTATGAAAATAGTAAATAATATACTTCTATGTCCGCTTGTCTGTTTACTTTAGTCAAGTCTTGAATACCATTCAAAGTTTAAAACAAAGTTAAGTGCACATTCTGGTTATCGAACAGAGACCCCCCCCCATCCATGGTTCGATATTTAATTCAGGGTGGTCAAAGATTGGCAGCTCTGCTGGCCACAAAATTACTTTTGCATTGTTCGTGGGCCACAAGAACTTCGCTCGTTGCCTAAGCAAGCCATAACACTAGTCAATTCAATGACATTAGTGATGCAACAATATGTCAAAAGATTTTTTGGTTAATTTCGTGACAAAACAACACGAAATTCGATTTTAGATTCCCTTCCGAATGCGACGCGGGCCACAGATAATGTGGCGGGCTTGGGTTTGGACCACCCTGATCTAATTGAACATTGCTACTATTGTGTAGATACTTTGTTTCAACGGTATACATATAATAATACAGTCCCTGATTTGAATGTTAAACTTGCGAAAACCCTGCTGCAGTGCCCGGACTCTCTGTTGATATCAAAACCTTGGCTCACCATCAAAACCTTTCTAATTGTTTTCCTCTCGGAAGATATACACCCTGTTTCTGATCAAAATAATCACAACACTATCATGTTTTAAGTTTTCTGAATGTACGTCAGGAAATAAAAAGCAATTGAACAATGCCAAGTACCAATATCCAACTTTGAATGCAGCACAGCACATTATTTCAAGTTTCGACCCAGTTAAAAGTCGCTTAGACCAATGACCCAGCTAATATATATTAATCACAGAATTTCATGTTTTAAGTTTTCTGAATGAATACAAGGGAAATAAAAACAAAGAAAGTATACAATACCAAGTACAATTATCAAACTTTGAATTCAGCACGGCACATTACTTCAAGTTTTGTCTGACAATTGAAAATTGGGGATGCCCAAAATATTTATATTTCAAATTGAATATAAATAGACCAATATTCATATACACCAGGCCTGCACAACATGCGGCCCGCTAGATACCTCTGTGCGGCCCGTAGGTAATTTGAAAACACGCCACTTCTCAGGTCTAACAGCCTCGTCGCTCGACCTCTCGCCCCCCAGTTTGGGAAACCCTGATTTAGATATCTCAGTATTCAAACTGAATCACGCTTAAAACAATATCGGTATACAATCTCACACCCATTAGTACATATTAGCAACCTATTAATAACCCCATTATTTTTTACTAGCCGGTTATGAAACTGAAGTTTATTTTTGAATCAAATTTAGAACTTAAAAAAGAAATTCTCGCACAAAAGATATTGCTATTCACTGTAAAATTTTAAATAAATTGGAGCAGATTTTGCAAAAAAATGTAATTTAACAGTCAAAAAAGTACAACAGAGGAAGATCTATCTATTGCTACTAAACGGATTATTTGTCCAGCCTACAATGGAAATATCCAATAATGGTGGATATGACTAAATAAATTGTCATACATATATTTTGGACGATTTTACAAAACGGAACCTGAGTGAAATACTTTCCTGCAGTCAGTTTATACTGCAACACGCAATACCTAATTCTAATAAAAAAGAAATATTGAAAATGAAGGGTGGGTTTTCAAGGTAGATGAACCATTAAATACATATTTGCCATCTCATATGCAAAAATACTGTAACTTGTTTTTACTAAAGAAAATAAGAGTCTTCATATGTTTAAGCTCCCCAGTAATGAAAGTGTTTCATTAAATTTAACTGTTTCACAATATTATTTTGATTTGTAGTTCATCTTGTGAAATATGTGGTGACCGTACATTTGAACCCATGCGTATATCCACGGGTTCAATCTATATGCGGGTGCTAAAACCCATGGGTTAGGGTTAGTATGGGTTTAACTATCCGTGAAACAGAAAAAATTCCATAGGTGCAATAGCATACAGGTGCAATTGTCATGGGTTCAAATGTAATGGAACCGAAATATGTATGTGGCAAAGTTTGCGGCCCGCCGGGCCTTCAGATTTATGCTTGCGGCCGTCGTGGTAATTTGAGTTGTGCAGGCTTGATTTACACTCTAAAATGGTTAGATTCCGTATAGTAAACTTTTAATTTTGAAAATAATGTTCAGCATATGATGGTCAGGCAAAGAAACCCCTGCAATGATGCAAAAACGAACTATTGTAAGACTACTACTATATTTGGTTTTATCCGCTCTAGCATGCATGCACATCAAACACAACATAAGAAGAATTATCCATCACTTCACTAGAGCTGCGGAGTTAAAAATATTCCCCAGCCAGTTTTGAGTCTGGTATAATTTTACCACGATCTACAGTTCTACGCCTAATAAATATCAAAACCGAGACAGCAGGAATCAATAAAATGCAAAAAAACTTAAATTACAAAAATATTACAAATTCAATGGACTTTTGAGAACTTAATATCTTTCACAATTTTAGCCCCACCGATTAGTAACCCCACACAGTACCCCAGCATTGCCCCAACTACCCCAGGGGTCGGCCACAATTGCCAGGGTCTATCCCAGTCAAGAGGAATAACTATAGCTGATGCCCAACTGCCAATGATGGTACATATTGTGCAGTAAAATAGGGTCCGCTTTTGTGAAGAATCAAAATTCATTAAATTGAAAAGGGCAATCCATTTCCGCGGCTTTGGGCCGAGTATGCAAACCCCGGGCACCACAATTAGGGATGAAACTAACCCAGCCCATATCGAAGTTTTTTCAGCATTTTCCAACAGAGGGGCCCCAAAAATTACAGCAAAAAAATGAGCAACTGCCCAAAAACCAGCAAACAAAATAGCAGATTTTACAATAAATTTTAAAATTTGCTGGAAGCTGTTTTTTTTCTTCGACATGGGGTAATCACGCATCCCAATTTGGGGGTTTAAATTGGGGTAAACCACCAAAAATAGGGTGATTTGTAATAAACTGTTCAAGACCATAAAAATATTGATCACTATAAGAGGGTTTTCCACAAGAGAAAAAATAGGGTTTTCAGTTACCAAAGAAAACACTAAAAATATGAATATAAACACAAAAGAAACAATTTCAGTGAACGCAGCTTTAATTGGCGACCCATCTTGGGTGGCTGACTGTTTCAAACTCGGCACCATTTTAGATGCTACTTTGTTATTATTTTTATGAGAATATCTTCAAAGAAAGGCTAATTGTAACAACTTAAAGATTATTGAGCTCTTTCCAAAGAACAATAATGTTACGAGTGGTCACAGGATAAACAGGAATTATAAATTATATAGGAATTTGATGACGCTGCAATCACTAGAAAATGAAGGTTTATGAAAAACTTAAAAGTTCAAAATAGAAATATTATAAATACAGTGGTAGCTGTAATATACAGCTTTGAATAAGGGAAGTGACTATTAAAAAGGTTTTTATGACTACTTTGCAATATAATTTTGTATATTGCAACAGTTATTTCTTGATTTAGACTTTAGGCTCCTATGCTGGCACTCCTCTTATTTACTCTTCTTTCTTCTGGTCTTTATCTGGCAATGGTGCAAATGGGTCTGACCAAACTCTCATACCACCAGGCTGGATATCTTCTTGGCTGATTCCTGCTCTCCCTTTTTCTTGGATTTCCTCTGAAAACAGAGATAGAGAGATCTATTGTTTGGTCAACCAGAAAACAAGCATTAAAACAATGAATAATACACAAAGTTATTCGGTATAGACTGAGGGGAGCGATGCGACCATACAGTACAGCACAGTTCTCCGATTCCGAAAATAGGCCCCCCCCCAAAAAAAAAACTAAAAAATAAATTGATCATAACAGAACCCCTTCTTTACGAGACAGTCTGGGCCTCCATACAGAAAAAAACGTCACCAATGGATTCCTCGAAAATATTTGATCAGAATCGCCGAAAGATAATAATTTCACCAAGGATTCGACACTTTTTAGCGAAAAAACGTATCCTTGGTCACATGACGACAGATTCAAGCTGCAATTGATAAGTTATGAAAAGCACAGCACCATCCTCCTGCCATCGTGCCAGACGACCTTGCTATATTTAACCAAACTTCAGGACATCTTGAAAACCAAATTTTGGCTTCAAAAACTATGCCATATCGGCATATGCAAGCCTTAATTAAAAAACAAGCAGGCATGAGTCAATAAATCTAGTCGAAATAAAAGATATAGCCTAACAATACTGGCAAAACTCAACTTACGATAAGCTTTCGAATTATACAGCGGGTAAATGTAGATCGGTCCAAAAGCTGCTCCAAGAAATACTACAAACGCGGCGATCAACCGATAATTCCTCGGATTTTTCACGTTCTTCAAATTTGGTCTTTCTTTTAGTTGTTGAAGTAAGAAATTCCTGACGAAAACCATCGCTCGGAAGCCAGAAAACTCCGAAGTTCTTCGCTAACTCAACTGAAAATTTTGCAACAAATGAACTTTTGTCCTCTGGCGATAGGGTTCAATGAACAGCTACATAATTCTAACTGTGCATCTGTCGCGATCATGAGAAAAATTTAATTTGAAAATATCGGAAGACAGATATTTTCAAATTGATATTTCAATATAAATTAAAAAAGTAATGTATAAATAAACAGCTTTGTTTATAAACCGCTCCTTTTTTTACTTCATTTCATGCTTTTATATTTTTTGTATCCGTCAGTTTATTGTTCCAATCCAACGACTAACATACCGTTCCAATCTGTGTACTTACCAGTCCACTATTAGCGTATTTTTCGGCATAAGATAGATAAAATAAAATATAAATAATTGGTTTTATATGTTCAGTAAGTAGAAAGAAAGATAGATTCGTTGTTTTGTCAACGCGGCGGTGTGGCTCAACGGGCTAAGCGTTAGGAATACGCTCGCCACCGCACCTCTAATTACTCTGCGTGGGTTCGCAGGTTCGAATCTCATGCAGGGATGATTATGTGCGAGAGGATTGCTGGACTCCTCGCCGTCGTTGGGTGGTTCACGTAACCGCTGGTCGGTTACGGCTTCCTCCACCACCAAGTCCATGCTTCCGAAAACAAAACAATATAACTAATCCCGTACCCGACTCGGAATGTTAACCGGACGAGAGGCCGTGGTTTGCCATATGGATAAGCCGTCTTATAGGCTTTCCTCTCCCCCCGGGATAAATATGTAAATCCTATCCTAACCAAATACAAATAAATAAAAGACATACAATAAATAGAGAATATTTTTGTTACGGACTCGAGGGAGCGATGAAACGTCATCAATGACTTTGATTTGCTTGTAAATGCTTTATGCAACCAGTTATTTTGCTACAGTACTATATTAAATATAAACTTATTGAACATAAAAAAAGAATAAAATGAGTTTAAGTTTGAAAAATTAGAAAGAAATTCAATATTTGCATGGTAATATAACAAATTGACATTATGAGAATTGTTGTCCTTCAGTATTACAGAATTCTGCAATAGGTCACATTTTTATTAATATTAATAAAATGTACAATATAGAATGATAAATTTTATTAAATTTCTTTCTCTTCCTCTCTTTCTAAATTTTCTTCAAACCAATGACCCAAAACGTGAGAATTTTTATGGAAACTCAGACGCGTCCTCCAGTGGTTCGCTCTTCCGTCCTTTTCCGAACTTGCGACGATGGCTACACAAGTCTCTAAGAAGCGCAAGGTATTTTGGTTAGTTTTTAGGAATTTATTCAACTATTTGCTTCGTATTTTTATAATTTTGTATACCTTATTACCTAGTTGATACATATTTTGTAAATTTACGATTTGTAGTGATTCAGTTATCTCGATGTATTTAGATAAAAATGAGATACTTCATCCTCGCTTGATTTCGCGCGCACGCTTATAGCTATCAATGTAATGGATTCATCTGCAGTGTGGCAATGATGACTAAACTTAGGACACCGAAATACTTCTTGAATGATTAGAATTAAGTTACTCTAGCTGAGCCACACTACCAATAAGAATTTTGCACTTCGGGTTGATACTTGTTTTAAAAAAAAAATATTTGGGTTGAATTTATAAGTCTCTTGAAATTTCGCATGAGGTATTGAATGAAAACATAGCTAAGCTAAACAAATACCGTCTGAAACAGCTCTGAACAGAAAGCATGACTCAACAGGGAACTCATTTTCTCTAGTTTCATCTAGAAAATAAATTTGAAATTTGGGATCCAGTTAAAATTATAATATTTAATCTTGAACTGACCGTGCTTGAAATATGCCTATTTGTGGCCGTTTCGAAATCCTGCTAACTTTGACTAAACTAAATAATATCAACCTCATTTTTTACTAGTTCGTTCGCGATGGCCTATTCAAGGCTGAATTGAATCAATTGTTATGGAAAGAGTTGGCAGAGGATGGTTACAGTGGGGTCGAAGTTCGTGTCACTCCATCTCGTACTGAGATCATCATCATGGCCACAAGGTGATGCATTGCTGCCAGAAGCTTAAAGCTTGCTATTCATTTTTAAATGTTTTTTTCTCTAGTCTGGCGTAGTTTCAGTCTGGATTTGAGTCTCGTGAAGCAAACGCCATAACTGCTTAAATAACGCCAAACAAAAATGTAATGTGAAAATACAACCCAAATTTTCATTTTTTTCTAGAAATGAATGTCAGTCTTGCGCGAACGCAATACGCTAATCGTCTTAAGACCACGTCCGAACCTACTGAGACCGCGTGAAAATCTAGATTCTTAGTGCAAAATTAACAGAATGACCCTATTTTGCTATTTGAAATAAACTTGAATAATCAAATGTAAAATTATTTAATAAACTGAACAACCAAAATTCTCACTTAGGTATTTGTATCTAACCCTCGTGTATTGAAGGTGGCACACCCCTGATCTTCAGTATTCACCACGGCAATGATGACTAAACTTAGGACACCGAAATACTTTTTGAATGATTAAAATCATGTTACTCTACCTGAGCTGTTGGTGTATACTGTAATTTATGTTAAAATCTATAATGCCCAAAATCTGGATTGTTTAGAGTGTCCCATACAATGATTCCAACGTTTTTCTTGAATAATTACGTTGGATGGTGTAGGCAAAAATATGCTTGCTCTAACCACTATTGATGTCCAAATTAGCATATTTATCAAATAAATGGTAAACTGGCATTAAACCTAATTTGATATAGTTTTAGTGGCTCGTGGTATTTTAACTTTGCTCATAGATTGGTCTACTTCTGAATGTTTTTTAGCAAAATGCCAATTTTTGCCACATTCCCTTTTGAACAACTGCCAAAAATCACAATTTCTAATATTTCAGAACACAGAATGTTCTTGGCGAGAAGGGTCGCAGAATCCGTGAGCTCACAGCCATGGTTCAGAAAAGATTCAACTTTCCTGACGGAACTGTAGAGGTATAAGTTTACTTCATTGTTTTTTTTTACTCTGGACAAGGCTCTTAACCAGCGGTCTTACTACTTACTGAATACAGCGCGAAACACCGCAAAGAGCGCGAAACAGAGGAAAACTGCGCGAAAGAGCGCAAAACAGGGAAACAGTGTGAAGCAGAAAAAAATTTTGCAATGAGTTCGGGGCACCTTTTTTTGAGTTGGATTACCACGGCAGCAAATTAAAAACACAAACCAACGCATGTAGCCAGTAATGCTGTAATGGCAGGTCTGCCCCTGCTGGTGACACATTTTGGGTACCATAATTTAGAACATTTTCCATGTGGATATGGTTGGCGTTAGGGTTAGGTAAAAAGGGACCTCCAGTTAGGTAAAAAGGGACCTCCAGAAGTATGTGCACCAAGATGGCGCACAACCTGAAAATAGTATGTGTGTGTGTAGCAGATTCAGGTTGTGCGACATATTGCTGCACATACTTCTGGAGCACCAAAAAGGTAGATAAAATTTCGCATGATGACCTATAATCCGGTACATAACCTTGTAAATATACCGGAAATAGCGCCATAAAACCATGGCGAGAGGCACCGTGGTTCTTTCGTGGCAGGAGGTGGTAATGACTGCGTCTCCTGTTTTGCGCTGGTTTCCTTCTGTTTTGCGGTGTTTCGCGCTGTATTCAGTAAGTAGTAAGACCCCTTAACCAGGGGTGGGCAAGGTTCTTGCGGCGGGCTGAATCCAGCTTGTTGGGTGAATAAATTTGGGTCGCACGTTGCTGCCACAAACAAACTAAAATCGTATTTTGAGGTTTTAGCTAAATATAGCTCAAATAGCATTGTTGGGATTGGGGACGAATTTAGTTTTGACGCAAGGCTCATTGTTTTCCTGCTTTGCTTTTGTAACACCAATAGTTTAAGAACCCCTGTATTTGAATAGTAAATTTTGTTGTATTAAAGGCAAATGATGATCAGGATACCCCCGTCATAAGTGATTTGATGATAAACAGTCTCTTCACAAGCTGATGCCTTTGTTACAATGCTGGGATATTGATGCAAGCCAGCAGGAATACACAATAGTTTCATAGCAAAGCTTGCCTATAAACTGATTCTATCTCTAAGATTGCTCCTTTTTTTAATTGAAAAAAAATTTGTATCTAAATGGCAAGATTTTTAAAATTCACGTTGTTACGGTTAACTTCACAATTAGAACTTTCAAAACCCATCATGAGAATTCTTAGCTTATGCCCCTGCCTGACCTGTGTGGCATTTGCTTTTTATAAGAACGGCAACAACTCGTGTTTCAAAATAAATTGGAATAAATGACACAATTTTTTTTTCAGTTATACGCAGAGAAGGTTGCCAACCGTGGTCTCTGTGCTACAGCACAGTGCGAATCTCTCAGGTACAAGTTACTCGGAGGATTGGCCGTAAGACGGTAAGTTGAATTTAACCAGTACCATTAAAATATCTTTTTATTGTTCATTTTGTTAAGTTAACAGCAGAACTCTGGTCATTCATGTTTGAGGTGTCTATTTGTATGTATTCTTCCAACTTTCGTATTAATACTATGAACTGTCGGGCCCTATTTTAAAAACGACGCTTGAGTGTATGGAAGCCATCTTTAATATACGGTTGAACTGTTAAGTAATAACATTAGGAGAATACTAAAAGTTCCCCAATCAGTACTTAAAAAGAGGATTTAGAATTTATCTGCAATTCAGATTCCGCAAGTTAAAAAAATGATTCAAATCCAATATATTGCTATCTAACTGACAATGCATTACATAGTGATCATTGTACATGATAAATCCCTCCGAAAACCTGATGCTTTATCACTCGGACTCCACGGACTTGACTAGGTTTTTGTTTTGCCGTCCGCTCACCAACCTCACAGCAATGATGACTAAACTTAGGACACCGAAATACTTCTTGAATGATTAGAATTAAGTTACTCTAGCTGAGCTGTGAGGTTGGATTGGGCCATGTTCCTACTCTATCTACTAAAAAGGATTTTCGTTAAAAAAAAATTCAAAAAAAACAAAAAAATTCATAATATTAAATACAAATTATTTTAAATATTCATTTTTT